GACTGGAATTCACACGTCTGAATTTCCCCAGACAGAATATGCTTTAGCTGTGTACATTCACCCATACCCAAACAACATACTGTCTGTGTGGGTCTACTTGGCTTCCTTAGCCCGACATCAATGAAAAGAAGAAGGGAAAAGGAAAAGGCAGAAGCCACTAAAGTTTTTCTGGTACCATGGAATTTGGCTGCTTATGCTCAAGTCCAGTTGCATGCTGAGCCTTATTTACCTACAATTGGGCACAATGGAGACTAATCCCCTCCCCCAAGTCTTTAAGGATGAATCTAGATGACCTCTTTACCAGAGACCTCCTTCAAGAGGACATTTGGGGCATTGAGGCTGTTGGGTGTCACTGTTTACAGTAGGCTTCACATTACTTCTGCCTGGAGAATCTTGTTGAAAATGCAGATTCTTGGGTGCCTTGCAAGACCTACTGAATGAAAACCTCAGAGAGTGGAGCTCCAGAGCCTGCGTGATTATCAACAAGCTCCCCAGGTGATTCTGTAAGCAAAAGCCCAGCCTTACAGAATGTCATCATTATTGAAGTGAAGCTGGTGTGTTTGATATTGGTACCTACTCCAGACTGAAGTTGTGGAAGGACAAAGAGGGGAAAAGCAACCACAGCTGTTCTCTTGAGAGAGGAAGCTCTTCTCCCTTGAGTTTTAGGCACCTCTGCATCCTCCCCTTACCCCTGCTGTGCTGCTACCACTACATCTACTGCAGGATGTAACAAAAGCACCTTTGAAACTGTCCCTTGCTCCCCTGCCCTCCCTTTTGCCATTTCACTCCTCCCTAATCTTTTTTTTTTTTTTTTTTTCTAAAGAAAAACCCTTCCTTAGGTTTTTCCTGACTAGCTGCAGGAAAGTCCATAGCAATATCCTGGCCACAGAAGAAGAAAGGAAATACACCCCTCGGTGGGTGACCAAGACACCCCCCAACCCCCACGGAGCCTGTAGACTTCCTATTCACTGTACTTCCTTTTCCTCCCAACAAAAGCCTTTCATTCCTGAGCCCTCTCAAGATGGAGCTTTGAGGCAATAAAAAAGTCCGTCTTTTCTCAAGATTGGTGGCCCTTGAATAAACATGATTCTTTCCTATCAAAGCTCATCTCCTGAAGACTGGTATTCCAGCAGCAGGCAGCAGGGACATTTTATTCTGGCAACAGGATTGCTTGGGGGCTGGAGAAGGGAGGGAAGGAAAGGGGAAAGAAAGAAGGAAGGATATTGCCTCAACTTGTGAGCATTATGAGGCTACTTTCCCATTCCTCATGATTGAAGGGATTCTAGTGTTTTCTTTCTCTCCACCCATGCTCTGGTTGCCATTTCTGGATTTCAAGCTAGGGATCCTGCAGAAAGAACGGGGTAATTCACCACCAGTTTGGTGATATTTCAAATTATGGTCTACCCTAGTCATCTGCTATTATTTACTTTTTAACCTGTCCAGGTTTTATAGCCACATTCATTGAGAAAGAAAGGGAAAAATTTGTTTAATCTGTTGTATTTGAGGTCTCCAGAGATAGAACCAATAGAATGTGTGTATGTGCACGTGCATGCACGTGTGTGTGTGCATATAGGATGTGTGTGCATATATACGCATGTATGTGTATGTATATATATATATATATATATATATATATATATATATATATATATAAAAGTAAATGTGAAGATATAAAAGAAAAATTAGATCACATGATCATGGAGACCGAGAAGGGCCAAAATCTTCTGTCAACAAGCTAGAGATTAGGACAGTCAACATGTCCCAATCAAATCCCATCCAAATCACCCTCAAAGTATTTGACTAAATATCTGGGCACACTATGGCCCAGTGAAGTATACACATAGAAATAACTATTATATCCATCTTATCTGGAGTAGAATCTCATGTAGCATTTTGAATTCTGGAACACTTTCTGGTAAACTGATTATAAATACCTACAAATTCTAGACCCTATTTTTAAAAATAGCTTTAGAAAGTATTATTTTTTCTTTATTGTATGTGCACGTGCGTGTGCGCGCGCGCACACACACACACACACATATATATATATATATATGTTGTAGACACAATACCTTAATTTTATTTATTTTTATGTGGTGCTGAGGATGGAACCCAGTGTGCCTCACACATGCTAGGCAAGCACCCTACCACTAACATACAATCACAGCCCTAGAAAGTATTCTTAACATTCTATGTTATGCTAAAGTGGTTTGGAAAAGTGACCCAGGAAATCTTCTCTATCAAGTGGGAGTATACAATGGTACAGCCCTTGCCTAGCATGTGTGAGGTCCTAGGCTTGATCCCTAGCACCACAAAAATAAATATATAATAGGTGTAATTTGCCTTTTTTATAACCACCCCAGATGCTAGGGTTAAATTTCTTGGAGAAGGACAGGAGGAGTACAATAAGACAATGATGCCTTAAGCAAGGATGTTAATATGAATAGTAGTTTCAGTGAGATTAACAGTACAAATCACAACGAATCAAGAACCAGAGAAAGGGCTTCTGGATACCAGTCTTTACATTCACTAGAGCACAATGTAGCCACTAAAAGGAATCCTGGGTGTTCAGTCATGGAATGTTCACCAGAATATATTATATGACAAAAACAGGTACACAACATAGATTGTAATGTTCTACCATTTGTGCACAAAATGGGGTAAAGGGGCCATACACATGGATGTTTATAAAGACCTGGATTATTTCTGTAAGAGTACAAAAGAGTAATAGTGTTGCCTCTAGGAAGAACTGGGATCAGGAGAGTGAGAGATTTGCTAGTCATTGTGTACAGTCTAATACTGTTTAAATGTTTTATATTTTGCATGCATTTGTTTAAAAAAAAAAGCAATTTAAAAAAGTGGCTTTTCACTGAGTAAAGTTCAGTGAGTTACAAAAGCTCTCCAGAAATTCTGACCACACCCCATCTCTTGCCAAATCCACTTGTGTCTTCTACTGCAGGCACACTGGACTCTACAGTTTCTATTCTCTGCTCTTAATGTAGATGTTCTGTCTTTTTCACTTCCATCCTTTTGTACCTTTATTGATCATTGCTTCCTAAACTTGGAAATCTTTCCTGTCTTCTCTTCACTCCAGCTAGAGAAATCAGTCTCCATTTTCATTCCAAACATGCTTTCTCCTTACAGCCTTTGCGTTTGCCATTCCCTCTACCTGGAATATTCAACCACCAGATATCTGCATGCTTCCTCAGTCCTTTGCACACCCCACCTTACTATAAAACAATGCCCCCCCACCATGGTCACATTATAAACCTCATATCCTGTTTATTTTTTTCCACCACACTTGTCACCATGTGATGTGTTTGTTGTTGTTCATTTAACATGTTTATCTCTTCCTAGTAGAATACAAACTTCGCGAAAACAGAGACTTCATTTAGGAATAGGTGAAATGCCTTGTATCCAGTTTGTGCTAAAGAAAGTACTAAAGAAATCATAACAAACCTGAAATTTGCATTTTAGGGATGTATAATCACAGTGGGGACACGCACACATGCCCCATACATTAACGTACAAAAGAAATAAACACAAGTTTTATAATGAGGCAAATCCAGAAAAATAACATAGATGATTTCTGAACAAATGTTTTCTAATGAATAACCTCTTCAAAGTAGAAACTAGGAAAGACAACCTGTTTATTACACTGATGATTATAGTCTGTGACCCCTTTTTCTGAAAGTTCTTAAGGAGGCCCTGGACATTTAAGTCATTTGTAGGCCAAATTATTGTCATAAAGTTGCTTAGAAGTCAGGAATTGGAAACTTAAGGAGGCGGGTACTATTTAAATGCCGTTAAAAAAAATGGTAAGATTTTATCCTTATGTGTCCTTTCCTGAGATATGTCAGGCAGCTTCTCCCTGGACTTTGACAGGCTATGCCAACTTCCACTTCTGAGTTTCCCTTTTCTTGACATTGGTTCCTATTGCCCTGTTCTCCTGGGCATAAACATTGTCTCTGATCAGCTGTCTAATCGTATGGTCTGCTGCTGTTCTGCCATTGTGACAAACCTCAGATTCACAGAAGGTCCACTCGTCACTTTGTAGTAATTCTTTATCATCCTGAGTCTTTTTGGATTCAAAAGCAAAAGTGATGTGTCCCATAATTTTTTAGTATTAAGAGTCTGATTTATTATGTGCAGATCTGTCTTAAGCTGACCTTCTTTTGTGATAGTCCACCAAACATGAAAATAACAATTGATTTGGTTTCTGCTAATCACATTTCAGTTCCAGCACCCCTTAATTGATGTTGCAGTGTTTCCAGTTTTGAGTTTCCTGATTTACTACCACAGATGGTTAATTACATCCTCTATGGATTTGACAAGCTAGGTTATTGAAGGTAATGTTAATTCCCTTCTTGAAAAGTTCTCGGGAATCTCTAAAGCAAAGAAATAAGGCGAAGGATAGGATTAATTAGGTTTCTAAAAGAGGAGTGGATTTTGAGGTAGAACACCTCACGGAGATAACACCTTAGAGATTACGGAAACACCTAAAACCCATTTAAAAGGCCTGATGATCCCGAGCATCCCCTAGGATGTAGCAATCTGAGGTAGGGCCCATTGGTTTCACGCTGTGAAGGGCTTTAATCGCCAGAATAAGGCGTCCGAACTTTCCTTTGCCTGCACGCGGGGCACCGAATGTTCTCAGCAGGTGAGTGGCTTAACCAGATGGGTCACCTAATGGTCAACATTAAAATTTCTCGGGCGCTCTCTACCGACCCGGATCCGGTCTCAAGCCGGTTTCGAAGAAGGTGAACGACGGGCTCCAGGCCCAAAGCACGAGGGCGGGCCGAGCCGCCCGGGACGCTGTGAGCACCCGGGCGGGGGCCGCCGAGCAGCGGAGCCGCTGCGGGGCGTAGCACCTGGGCCCGGCCTGGCCGCCGATTGGACGGCTGGGGGTGACCCCGCTGTATCGCGAGAAGAGATTGGCAGTGCAGGACTGCATGTGCCCCCGCGCTGGCTTTGTACGCCGAGCCGCCCGCCGGTCCTTTAACAATGGGCGGCGGGAGCGCCCCGGCGCTGGGCCCGAGCTGAGGCCGGCGCGTCGCTGCCGACTGTCCGCAGCATGAGCGGGGCCGGGGTCCCCCGCACGCCGGCGGGGCTGGGGCTGTGAAGGCCGCGGTTCCGGGTAAGAGAGCCGCGGTGCGGCCGAGCAGGCCTGGGCTGGGCGCGGGCACCAGTCCCGGGGGCGAGGCGCGGATCCTGGCCGGCCAGGCCTTTTGTTCGCCATTCAGGGTCCGCGCGGTTCCTCAGATCCCGGGGAGGAGCGGGCGCCCGGCCTTCTGCGGCCGGCGGACGTTCGTTCCTGGCCTCTCGGAGGGAACTTTGCACCCTAGCGGGGCTGGGACTGGTGTCAGGTCTACCCGCTCCTCGGAGCGTTTCAACCCGGGACTCCGGGAGTCCGAAGGCGGGCCTCCCGCCCCGGCTCTTGCCCTGCTTGCGGCCAGGTCTGTGCGTTGGCAGCTCGGGGTCCGAGTTGATCTCCCTCTTTCCCTGAAACTAGTTGGGCAGTTCCCTAAATAAGCTAGCTCCTCCTGAGTGCATAGGACGGGCCTTAAGTGTGGGATCTGGGAACTGTTTGGGTGCGTCCCGGGCTTAGGACGAGTGAGGTGAAGACCAACAGCCGCACAGGGTAGCTGAGGTCACACCCCTCAGGGAGGGGGCGCGGAGGGTCGTGGGGGAAGTTGCTGGCAGTGACCGCGTCTGGGGCGTGTCTTCCAGACTGAAGTTGCCGCGTCTGGCTAGGCGCGCCGCCGAGTCTCATGGAGCTGGAGGGGCAGTGGTGGCGAGGACAACTGGCTGCTGATATTCACCAAGCGCTTCGGTACAAGGTAACACTGGTTCTCAACCTTGCCATTCGGGGTCTTGCGCCAGTTAAAATGAACCTCGAAGTTCCCAGAAAGTCCAGGTCTTCCAGGCCAGAAAACCCTAGTTCGCTTATTTGCTCAAGGTTAATTAACTTATTCGTTCCGTCCCTGGGCTATATAAGAATAACCTGCAACTTAAATGATGCGAGGGCTTAGGAAAGGAAAAGTGGATGTTCTTGTCTCCAGATGGACCATGAATTTGATCGTGTATTTCAGAATACATACACTCTGAGTTTTTATTGGGCAAAGCAGCCTTAATTGTTCTATAGTTGGTTCTGCATGCCGCTGTTGTAAGTCTCTTTTGTACATATCTAAATTTCCCATGCTTTCATCTAACTTGCTGTGAGACATTGGGCTAGTTAGTTTTCTGGTTCTCAGTTTGCCCACATGTAAAGTGAGGAATAATCATAATAGAATGTGGGGTGGAAGGTATAACTCAGTGGTAGAGCACTTGCCTAGCTTGAGCGAGGCCCTGGGTGATCCCCATCACAATAACAACAACAGTAGAACATACCTTATTAGGTGATTTTGAAATTTAAATGTATTGTATAGGGGCTTTAGTGCTTGGCATATAGTTAGCCCAAGTAAAAACTGTTATTATTACTTGCCTTTTAAGATTTGGGACTGTTCAAAAAGGTTAGTATTAAAGGTAGAAAGACCTAATATACTTAACAGATATTGAAAAAATACACTTTTCTGGGCACAAAATCTGTGTATCACAGCTCTTAAATAACTTTACTGTGCATTTTACAAAACAGATTAATAGACAGCTCTGCTTCTGATAACCAGAAGGTATAACTTCTGATCCAAAATGATCTCTAGTTTAACTCATTTTCACTTTGGATAGAGAGAACCAAAGTGAGAAGCAAAACAGCCTGCTCTTTAATAAAGGGGATTCTGATCATTGGACTTGAGAGATTCTGGGATGATAACAAACTTTTATCTTAAGTCCCTGAAGACACAAAGTAGATTGGAAAAAAAAATCGAATTGACTTAAATTCTTAGAATTTTGTATGTTTTTAAAGCTCTAGGTTTCTAAATGCTGTTTACTACTTCTGATATTCAGTCTTTTACCCTGAATACAACTCAGCCCCCTAAAAGAGCATTTTTATTGCATAAAAAAGTTCCAACTATGGGATGGTTCTCTGGAGGGTTAAGAAGAGTTGCAGGTTTTCTTCTTTGAAAATTGTCTGGATACGCTTTTAATTTTTTTTTCCTTTTGGCAGATGTCATCTTTTAGTTGGAAATGTGCTTTTCTAAGGGTTAGATTTTTAATCCCTCTTGTATGTGGTGAAATTAATCATTTGTAAATGATACTTATATTTTTTAATTGACCAAAACTTTTAAGATTTTTCTTGGTGATCCCTCATGGTTTTCAATTCTTGTATTTTATGTGTAGATAATTTTAATCATGAGTGATTATCTGAGTTGGTTTTGTCAGTTGAATTTAGAAGTAGTTTTTTTTTTTTTTTTTTTTAAATCTGAGTTTGTTGAATGCTCTTGTGCATTAGTCTCTGAAGGAGCCAAAGAATAAGACAGCCCTGCACTCAAGTTGCTAATGAACTGTCATAGGACAAGATAGCACAGGGTCTGAAGGAATACCACTGAAGGTGTCTTGGGCCATCTGTGGCACACTATCCTGGGTTGAAGTCAAAATGAATTTTTATTATAGAAAAGCAAGTTACGGGCTGGGGTTGTGGCTCAGTGGTAGAGTGCTTGCCTAGCATATGTGAGACACTGGGTTCAATTCTCAGCACTGCATATAAATAAATGAATTTAAAAAAAAAAGACAAGTTAAATTCAGGCTGTTAGTTGATGATTTACTTAGATAGTCATCTGCTTATTGTATCGAACATGCTGAGTACCATACCAGTTGGAGCAGTAACTGAGAGACACAAACATCCCACCTTCATAGAATCCAATCTTTTTTCATAAGTCAGAACATCCAAATTTAGGTCCTTCTTTGGGGTGTTGCCATTGTATAATCTGGAAGATGTTCTGTGTTTAGACCCAAGGTTTGTAGAGAAATAATCAATGTGACCAGCATTATTTCTTCTAGGGAAGAGTGAAATACAGTGACTAGAAATCCTCTTCAACCCTAAATGCCAACTAGACAGTTTTTATAAAACACAATTTACCACTCAAAAAAACCTACAAATCAACATGTCTCCTCAGATACTTATGTCTCCTTTTCTTCTCATCTTCTTGCTGCATTTAGTGTCATAGTTGTTTGGGAAAGAATTTTTAGAAGACTTATGACAGTTCTCAAATTGTAGCTTTGTGAGAAACATTTAGAAAATATTTACCCCATAGAATTGTAGTTAAAATTCTGAGTATTCTTTTAAGCCTGTATTTCCTTCCTGTGTGGGAAGGGAATGGCATTTGAGAAGCAAGAATAAGAGTGTTCAATTCTGAGGGATTGGGAATAGACAGCAGGGGAAACCTGTAAGTTGAGAAAAACATTGTCATTTTCTTATGTTTACATAACTGCAGTACCTAGACAAGAACAGACTCTTGTTGGTTATGTGATAAGCACTTCTGCTTTACCATTTAAAAAAACTTAAAAGAGAATATATTGGACACGTTATTTAAAATTGTCTTGATGGCCCTTAGGTTTCCTTCCTTCCTCCTCCCTCTCTCCCTCAGTGCTAGGGATCCAACCCAAGTCCTTATGCGTGTTTGGCAGACACTCTGCCCCTGAGCTACATCCAGAGCCCCTCCTGACTTTTTTTTTTTTTTTTTAAGTTTGTAAGGTTAACATTGCTAATAATAAACCCCTCTAGCATTTTGAAGGTGTGTTTCCTAGTATGTCTTTTCCAGAAAACCTACCCTGGCTTTATTTTTTCCCAGTTCCTCACTCCTTGAGCTGAGTTAGCCTTTCTCAGTGTACTCATAATACCTTGTGATTATAATATTGTGTTATAATGATCTCTGTATTTTGATTCACCTGCTAGAGAGAGGCTTGAGACTGTTTTTCCAGCTTTTCTCCTGGGGTTAGCACAGTGCCTGCTACAAGGGAGATGCTCAATATATGTCACATGATGGCAGCAAAGAAAGGTAAAGTTACAACTCATTTACACCATTCTAAAAATCTATAGAAATAGTGAAGGAGAAAGGAAGAATCCTAGGAGCTATATGAGAAACCAGCATGTTCCTTTTATTGAGAGAAAAATTATTTTCTCAGTAGTGTTTGTTTATGCTATTATTATTATTATTATTATTTCTATTATTATATATTTGTGTATGTGTGGTACTGGGATTGAACCCAGGGCATTTTACCACTGTGCTAAACCCCACAGTCCCTTTTTGATTTTTATTTTGAGATGGAATCTTGCAAAGTTTCTCAGTCTGGCCTTGAACTTGCAATCTTCCTGCCTTAGCCTCCTTCGTCATGGGATTATAGGTGTGTGCCATCACACCCAGCTTGTGTTGCCTTGATCCTCTTAAGGTTCTTTTTCCTTGAAGATACCTAGTAAATCAGTATATCTGAAAATATAATATTTTGTTGTTCCTACAGAGGTCATAACATATATTCATTATTCTGTACCTTCCTGCCATACCACCCCCAATTTATGAGGTTTTTCCACATCAACCTATCTAGGTCTATTGACCTTTATTTTAAATGCTACATTGCATCAACATCCCATAGTTTATTTAACTAGATCCCTATTAATAGACATCACACTTTTTTAAAAAAATTAAGCTTTATATTTTGAGATTATTGTAGAATCCTATGCAGTTATAGTACAGGGGGATCCCCTATTACCTTTACCTAGTTTCCTCCAGTGGTAACTTCTTGAAAAACTATAATCATCTATCACAACCAGGGTAATTACATTGACGTAGCCAAGATGTAGAATATTTTCCATCATCACAAGGGTGTATCTTATGTTACCCTTTTATAAAAAGCATACCTTCCCCTGCCATCTCATGCCCTCTTTTTAAAAAGAGTTTTTTAACAAAGAATTTTTTAACTTTATTTTATTTATTTATGTATGTATGTATGTATGTATTATGTGGTGTTGAGGCTCGAACCCAGTGCCTTACGTGTGCCAGGCAAGTGCTCTACTGCTGGCCCTAAACCCTAGCCCCTCATGCCCTCTCTTAACCCCTGACAACTACCAATCTGTTCTTTCTATAGTTTTGTCATTTCAAGAATGTTATATAAATAAGAGTTATAAAATATGTGACCTTTCAGGATTAACTTTTTAAACTCAGCATAATTTTCTGGAGATCCATTGTGGTTGTTGGGCATCAAGCTTTTTTTGCTATTACAAACAGCTGCAAAAGGATTCCTTTTTATATATAATATATTCCTGGGATTAGAGTTTTTAGGTTAAAAAGCATTTGTACTTTTTAAAAAATTATCTATTACAAATTACTCTCCAATAGTTGTCAATCTGATCAATAGTATGTGAGAGCTACTATTTCTCTCTCAATAGCATAAACAAAAATTGATAAAACCTGATCTAGAAAGTAAACAATTACATAATGCTTTAAATTTGAATAAGATCTGACATCTTTTTATATATTTTTGGTCCTGTTGTATTTTTCCTATGATCTTGGTTCATATGTTGTCTTTTTCTTACTGATTTACTTGTAAGAGTTCTCTAAACAGTAAGAAATTAGTTCTTCATCATATTTAACAGAAATATTTATTAAATATATCTATTCTCCCCTTATTTGAAATGCCATTATTTTCATATATCTTATCCTGTCCAAGAACATCTTTCCATGTAAGTCCTCCACACCTATCAATTTTTTATCTTTTTTACATTTTTTTCATATTACAGATTGAACCCATGGCTGTTTACCACTGAGCAACATCCCCAGTCCTTTTTATCTTTTGAGACAGGGTCTTGCTAAGTTGCCCAGGCTGGCCTTGAACTTGTGATCCTTGTGCCTCAGCCTTCTGAGTCACTGGAATTACAGATATGCGCCACCTCACCCAGCCAAATTTATCTTCATACAGTGTTGGCATATGTAAATCTATTCTTGGTCTTTATTTTTATAGATACTCATGTGAAATATTGTATTCGATTGTATAGAAAAACTGTTTTAATTTTATAATCAACCATCCTACTGAAATCTTACTGTTTCTCTTTATTTTTTCTGTGATTTTCTTGAGTTTTCTGGACACAAATTCTGCCATCTAAAAAATAATAATTTGTTTCATGAGAATAATTTATGATTCTTCCTTTCCAATAAGTATACCTTCACTTTTTTCTATCTGAATTGGTTAGGTAATGTTGCAATCATAGGCACTAGCCTGGTAATCCTTCTATTGTTTCACCTGCAAGTGAGATGCAGGCTCTTATATTCAATACCGTTTTACCTCCATCCAATCCATTCCTTCATTAAAGATATGTATGAACATTTGTTCTGTTTTTCCCAGGGTCACTTTTATTTCAGATGCTGTTGTGGTATCTGTCAAGATGATTGTGCATATTTGTGTATGAATTTTTTTGTGAATTACAGTTCCTAATACCAAACAGTCCTTGTATTCATGAGAAGTATTACAGCTGATTATGATGATGCATTTTTGATACTAATCTAATCTTAGAAAATATTAGATTATATGTAACTTCCCTGTTTTCATGTATTATTAAATGTACATGTAATAAAATTTGCCATGTTAACCATTTTTAAGTGACAGTTCAATAACATTAGGTACATTTACATTGTTTTGCTTCTGTCACCACTGTCCCCTCTAGAACTTTTTCATCTTCGTAAACTGAAACTCCATACTTAGTAATTTCCCAATCTTCCACCCTCACCCTTCTGCCCCTGGTTACCACTATTCTGCTTTGTCCCTACAAATTTGAATATTCTAAGTACTTCACATAAGTGGAACCGTAAAATAATTATTCTTTATAATCCAACAGCATACTGTCTTCTCTGTAGTATTTATCAGAATTTCCATTTTAATACTGAATAATGTTTCATTGTGAATGCCACATTTTATGTATCCATCAGTCAGTAGGCATTTGGGTTGTTTGTTTTCATGTTTTGGTTATTATACATAATGGTGACATGAATGTGGGTGTACAAATATCTGTTCAAATCCCTTCTTGCTGTTCTTTTGGATATACCTAAAAGTGCAATTGATGGATCATTTGGTGATTATTTATTTAATTTTTTTGACGAACTGCCACCATTATCCATGATAATATGGATGTAAACTGTACCATTTGACATCCTACTAGTATTGTACAAGAGTCCCAGTTTCTCCACATCCTTGTTAACACTTAATTCTATTTTTCTTCCTTTTTTGAATAGTTTTGATTTGCATTTCCTTAGTGATTAATGATGCTGAGCATCATTTCATATGCTTCTTGGCCTTTTATTTATGTTCTTTGGAGAAATGTCTATGCAAGTCCTTTGCCCATTTTTAAAGTGGGTTAGTTTTTTACTGTTGAATTGTAATAGTTCTTTGGCTATTAATCTTTTGTCAGATATATAATTTCTAAACATTTTCTCCTATTCTGTTGGTTGCCCTTTCACTCTGGGGACTGGACATTTTTCTTTTTGCCTGTGCTTTTGGTATCATATCCATGTTACTTCCTGCTATTGTAGTACCTATTAGTTAAGTGTCAGTTTTATACTTATCCATAAAATGAATTTGGAAATTTTCCACTTTTCTCTATGCTCCTGAAATATTTTACTAGTATATATTTTCCAATTTTTGAAAAACTAGTTGGTATAATATTTAAGATTAAAAACTGATGATGGGAAAAATTTAGGTATATAAAGGGCAAAAGAAAGATTAGGCAAAAGAAGATCATAAAACTGCTGAAAAGGACATGAGATTAGAAAATACTAAGGATGAGTACTGGTCTCTAGATCTCTGCAAGTATAACATAATATGCAGCATACCAGGAACATATCCACCTTCTTAAGAAAAGTTTTGAGATTCCTCAGGGGTGTGTGTGTGTGTGTGTGTGTGTGTGTGTGTATGTGTGATGGTTAGATTTTTGGCAAGGACACATTTTTTTGAAAACACATGATAGTGAAAATACAATTCTCTTTTTAAAGATCTTTGTAGAATGTATCCATTCCATAAAGCAAGAAACACTTAAAATTGGTCACGTCAGAGGTCGTTAAGAATAAATAGAAAACTTTTATTTTAACCAGATTAATTTTTAAATGCCATTTATTATCCTCCCTTTTTTCATTTCTGTGTTCCTCTTAGGAAAAGTGTGTTTTGGACGTACTTGTAACACTAATATATTGGAAAGACTATGTGGGGGTATTTCTACAGATTATGTCAGATTAAGTGTTGTTCTTCTTGCTTTAGGAGCTGAAGTTGCCCTCCTACAAAGGCCAGTCCCCTCAACTAAGTCTCAGAAGGTATTTTGCTGATTTGATTGCCATTGTGAGCAATCGCTTCACACTCTGCCCTTCGGCCCGACATCTTGCTGTCTATTTGCTGGACCTGTTTATGGATCGCTATGACATCTCTATCCAGCAGCTGCATTTAGTTGCGCTTTCCTGTCTGCTTCTAGCAAGTAAGTAGGAATGTGATTTACATGACTGGAAATCTCCATTACTTATATGATAAAATAGACTTACATAGAACTCAAATCCTATTCATTAGTACTATCAGGAAGTTTATTATGAAAGTGCTTTTTTAGCAGAATGATTGTTAATCAGACATGAAAAAATGGTTCTGGAGTATTTGAAAAATATATGCCTAAGCCCAACATGTTGAAGATTCTGATATAAATGCAAATTCTAGACCACCACAGATCTATTGAGTCAGCATTTACCTAGTGGGAACTGGATAATTTTTAATTTTTAAAAAGTTCCAAAGATAATTCTGTTGTGCTTTTCCAATTGAGAATCATTATTTAAAATCAGTGATTCACAACCAGGAACAACTCTGACCCACAGGGGATGCTCATCAACATGTGAAAGCATTTAGTTATCACAACTTGTTGGGGGATGCTGCTAGCATTTAGTGCACAGAAACTTGGTATGCTGCTAAACATTCTGTAATGCACTGGACAGTTCCCCAGAATAAAGAATTCTTTGGCTCCAAACATTAATGGAGCTAAAGTTGAGATACTTGTAAAAGTACCATGCTCTTAGATTGTTAGAATGCTTTCTACTGACTATATAACAAATTGGCTTAGTGAACTGAACTTTTGTGTGTAGCTACTACAGATGGAAGAATCTTTCTTGTGCATCAGGCCAACTGATCTTTTTAACCCAATTTACAGAAGGTACCACTAGACCTTTTCCCACCTCTTTCTCTTAATATCTAATTGTAACTCATTTCATTGCTTGCTAGTACTCTCAGTGAAGAGAAAGGGCAAATAAAGGAATTGAGTTTTTTTCTTTTTTCAGTAATGAGAATGTCTTTATTGAAGTCAAATTGATGTGTACTTTTTATATTATCCATGTTACTATAATAGAAAGTCTGTAATATGTACATATATCATCAGTCTTCACCTCTAATCACCACTGAAGGGTTAAGATCCAGTATGGCTGCTGTCCACAAAACATTCCCCCTATGCCAGTGCCACCGAAGTTCTTTCTGAAACACCTTTGTGTTTTGGCTGCTAATAAACTTAAAACCAAATGTAGTCCCCTGTGGTTTGATTTCTGGTACTAATCTCTTCTCAGATTTTATTTTCCTATCTTTATTCTTCCTGTGATTTGATGACCTCATCTACTTATTTTGTCCCCTTGAATATCTTTTTGTATGTTATTTCAGATCCCTTGTTAGAACAAGAATGAATGTAAAGCCATTGTCATGTAAAGCCATGACTTCCCACTATTTGTGGTTTAAGGTAGAAACTGCTTACTATAGCATTTAGAATCTTTTATCTGGATGTAGTCACCCAGTCTCCTTATTCAAATTTCTTCCCAGATACCTTGAGCCAGATTCTTAGCAGAATATTATCTACTTCCTGAATAACTGCATTTCCCCTTTAATCTGTCTTCCTCCTAAGACCCAGACACATCTCACATCTCTCCCCCACCCAGAAGCCAGAGAGGTACTCTTTGCACATTTATAATTAACCTTTAACTTTTTTTTTTTAGTATTTATTTTTTAGTTGTATGTGGACAAATATCTTTATTTCATTTTTTTTAACCATACGATTTATTTTCATTTTTTTAGTCATACATGACGTATAATACATACATGGAATGTATATACATAAATCATATTGTCTATTCTATTCTGCTGCCTTTCCTATCCCCCCTACTCCTCCCCTCCTCTCCCATCCTTTCTCTCTATCCAATCTATAAAGGTCTGAACCTTTAACTTTTAATTAAAGTTTCATGCCCATAAGTAATCACATGTACAGTGCTGTATATGTTTCATCACTGACTGTGAAGCCCTTTGGGGTTTAAAACTTGGGATCATTAATAAAAATTTTTTGCTTGCTGTAGCTGACACTGTCATTTTACCACTACAAAATCACACTCGTTCTGCCTGTAGTTCTTAAAAGAATGGTGTAGGTCAAGTGGGAAGCTCATCTTTGTGGATTATGAAATTAATAAATGATGCATGGTCAGTTCATAGACTGACTTATGTGACTAAATTAATTTTCAGTGTCTGATATGTTTTAAATTTGTAGAATTCATTCTTAGTGATATATTCTCATACTATGCCTTCTTACATTTGATGTCAATGGCAGCTCTCCTGTTAGTTACCATAAACATTATTCAGATAACTGCTATCTTCCTCATAGAAGGACTGAACTCTATTATGATCCTCCCGCAACTTTTCCCTGCTTTGGGGTGGGCATCCTGGAGTATGAAAGTACAGGATAGCTTATAACTGAAAGTACCAGGTAAAATTTATTTCAGTTATGGAATAGGTTGAAAGACAGCAGCTTATAAAATTCCAGGAGCTTAAGTTGCCAATTCCTTGTTGTATTCATCATTAGAGAAAGGAAGAAGGATCTACACATTATTTCTGATTGCCTTGTTTTAGAGCAGGGACTATAATGATGGATTTTTCTGGATTTGAATCACCCACAATATGAATTTCAACAACCTTGCATCCCAGGTTATTTCTCTATTAAGATGAAAATACAGACCCCTTGCCTTACAAAGTTTTGAGGATAAGGTGGGTTTTAACATAAGAAAATGCAACATAAAGGGTTTGACATTGTAATTATTCCCTAAGAGTCCTGGTTTATCCTAAAATAGACCCTGGTTTGTACAGAGAAATTCTCATATCCTGTTTTTATCACGTGTAGCATGGCTTCCGTTGGTGTCTGGTGGCCAGCATGAAACATATGAAGAGCTTGGAATCAGTCTTGAATATGGGGTGTCTGATAATTTGCTTAAGGTCTTATGAAACTAACAAATGATCTTGGAATCAAGATGAAGTGAAAGTGAAATTATAGACTTTTAGTAATAACAATTGTAGCAAGTGCTTGTTTCTCCTTGACACCAGTAGTGGGTTAGCAAAGTTTTTTTTCTTTTTTATAACTTCCTCTTAGAGCAAAAATATTTCACAGTTGATCTGATTTGTATCTCAAATTTCTAATGAGCTTAGAATTTTTTTCTATGAATTTTTTGTTCTTCATCAATTTTTCTATTAGATTGATGGCCTTACAAATTTGTGAGTATTCTTAGTATGTATTAAGGATGACTTTCCTACTAAGTAATTAAAAAAATAGAAAGTGGTTTGGCAGAGCTCAGAATTTCCCCAGATCCATTCCCAATTCGGTGTACAACTCTTCTCTACCACATATCTGTCATTCACTGCTGGCTTTGAAAATGTTGCTTTCCATGACTGACTTGCACATTTCCTCTAAAGGAAAGACAACTTGGTGTTTTGTTTTCTGTGGCCTCTTAATTCTTTATTTTCTGGGAAACTGATATGAATTTCCTGTGCCCTTATATCCTGTTTGGGGCCTTTATCAATATAATCACATGGCTTCTGGTATTTCCTTTCAATTGAAGAAACTGATCTTTTTACTGTGTGTGTGTGTAGCATTATGGATAGGTAAATAGATTTAAAGTACACACACATAGCATCAGCATAATAGAAACTATAGATATGAAAGCAGTTACTCATTGATGTTATCACACTCTTTGAATTTAATGTCCACAAAGCTGAGCACTTATATCACTATACATAATTAAAAAGTTCCAAAACTCCTTAACCTGAATTAGAATTCTAAATGTGGCTATATATGCAATATGCAAGTTATTTTTAACTTTGCAAATCAGTATACAAAGTCTTTTACATTTATAATCATTGAATACTTACTCTATACATGTAAATATAGAAATCTGTCATTCTAGTAGTTCTCCCTATAAAATCTGGTACAGTACTTTGGTTCAGATTTGGGAATTCAAACATAAATCTTCCTTTTGGCTTCCTTTTTTTGTTTAAATCAGTTTATTTGACCTTAAATGAATTGGCCAACCTCACTACCTGGTTTTTTGAGATGTGAAATCGATCTTATGCAATTTTATTTCTTTCTTTATTTGGCTTGCTTTGCTTTGCTTTGCTTTGCTAGGGACCAAACCCAGGGCTTATGGTAGGCAAACACTTTACCACTGATCTACACTCCCAGCTGCAATTTTATTTTTGCTGTTGTAAGTTTCAAAGAGATAATATGAAACATCCTTGATCTGTGAATTATGGTATATTAATTTCTTCAAAGGAACTCCAAACATGATATAAATAAACTCATTAATTTTTTACAATGTTCCTTTGAAGTATACTGCCAGTGTGGCTGCTGCTACACAAATGGCAGGGTGCTTTGAAAGCTTTAATGATTCATCCTGAGGGCTTGAATCAAATTCCTAGGTCATTCTTCTTCTGAAGAATTTCACTTTAAAAACACTGAGAACAGTCTGTCTTCTTCCTTCACTTTATTGAGTGGGTGGTGGATAACTATATTAAAAAAACACTAAGATGTTTTCAATTATACAAAGTGTATACTAAACTTGCAGAAGTCTTCTTTATGTGATTTGAACTAGAAAGAGCTATCTAGATTTTAAAGTCTGAATTATGTAAGTTATAGATCAACTCCTATCTTCAGCTTTATTTAGTTAAAGAGCAATTTAACTTTCTTGAGCAGGAAGAGATAACATCTCTTCTCCTTTGGGCTTGGGTTTTTCTCAAGATGGGCACTTAGAATCTCCTGGCATCAGAGGCAGAACTTAACCCCAGTTCTGCTGCCTTAGCAAAGATCAAAGGCATGTAGCAGCAGTTTTTCCTCAGCACTGAATAGGTCATCATGAGTGAATTTTTGCTGGCTACCATACAGGTGCCTATACTTTGAGCATCTGCACTGAGTGGTCCCTACCATTTGTTGTTGCAGCTTTAATGTGTGGTACAAACCTATCCCTCTAGAAGAGAAAGTTGACAAGGAAACTTCTAGTTTCTCTCACTTTGGCAATTTTTCTGGCTCTTCTCCAAAAGTGTTTTTAAATGCATAAAATAAAATTATAAGATTTCCAAGGAAACCACATATATTGAAATTGTTATCAAAATATTGAAATGTCAAAATATTTTTTAAACATTAATGTAAAATAGAACATAATAATGGGAGTTAGAAGGCTTTAGTTATTTCTGTTTTATGAACTACCAAGGAATAAGACCCAGAGAGACTTGAAAACAACGCTGGTTCTATTGCTGCATCTGAAAAATCTTAATAGTAAGTGATAGTTCATGACTATTCTCCAGCCATAAGTTCTAGAAATACCTAAAATGCATGCTTTATGTATAGGAAAATGCTTATTTGGAAATTAGTAGAAATGTGTTTCTTGGGCTGGAGATGGAATCTTATTCCTCAGTTGTTCATTGTGGAAACCTTATAGATGAATATTTCCTGAAAAATTAATGCCTTTGAATAATGAAATCCAACTATCATGTTGTCTTCTATTCTGCTTTGAGTAAGGGGATTTGAAAGAGGATAGAAAATATCTTCTCCTTTCCCCCTCCTTTTAAAATAGACTTAGCTAGATTTTTGCCTAGAATTCAGAAGAGGATAGATTTTTTTTTTTTTTTTTTGTGGAATGATAATGCTTGCTAGACATTCACCCAGCCCTACCTCCCCATCTCTTATTTCTTTCTGGAATTGAGATTATGCTGAAAATATGCCAAAATGAGACACTTGAGCTTAAAAAGCTCTGACATTAAGTCCTTTAAACTCTACTCTGCTTCTACCTTAAAATAATTTTCTTTCACCAACCATCACCTGCCCACAAGAAGGAACCTTTCTGAAAAGAATCAGCTTGTGAGATTTGAGTTATTTTTCTCATTGGCATATATAACTATTTTCTTTTTACAAGGTAGGATACAAATGAAAGTATTCCATGCATATTTTTTTGGAGGATAGGGAAAATGGGAGATGGTGTTACTGGGAAGGAAAGTACGTATGTAAATACAGAACCAAAGTATTCTGGCACAGTCCTATCTCAGTAAGGAAGAGAAAAGAATGTCTTTGGTCTAAATCTTGATGGTAAGTCAGAAAATCCATTTAACTGAATAGACATATAATGATCTCTTACCTAATACTTTTCCCAACCTTTCCCCTTTTCTTAAAAGGTAAATTTGAAGAAAAAGAAGATAGTGTGCCTAAGCTGGAGCAGCTCAACAGTCTGGGTTGTATGACTAATATGAATCTAGTATTAACAAAACAAAATTTGCTACATATGGAACTATTATTATTAGAAACCTTTCAGTGGAACCTCTGCCTTCCAACAGCTGCCCACTTTATTGAGTATTATCTCTCAGAAGCAGTACATGAAACAGATCTTCATGATGGCTGGCCAATGATTTGCTTGGAAAAAACTAAACTCTACATGGCCAAATATGCAGATTACTTCCTGGAAGTATCTCTGCAAGGTGAGTTGTTGTGGCTGCCAGTAAGTAACTTGTGTGCTTGTAACTTGGTATTCTGTTGCTTAAGTTCATTTTTGGTGTCTCCACAGATTATGCCTTTCTAAATTATGCACCTTCTTTAGTAGCTGCTGCATGTGTGGCTTCTTCGAGGATTATACTTCGTCTTTCTCCAACGTGGCCTACAAGACTGCATCGTCTTACTGCTTACTCCTGGGATTTCTTAGTGCAGTGTATTGAACGACTGTTGATGTAAGCCTTTTTAGTCTTGTGTTCATAGTTTCTCATTAACGTTTTTATTCATGTGTAAGGTACCCCCCAAAAAAGTTCTCAAAGGCACAGAGCTCTTAGGAGACTTGCTCTTGACAGCTGCTTGCTGCCATGAGAACAAGCCACTGTATGAGCAGGACTCTGTAGAAGGGGAGCTCCTTTTGGCTTCTAGTAAGTTAGAAGTTACCCTTGCTACTGTGGTTCTAGGTACATGATAGGGAAAGGAGCTGCTCTTGAATGTCTATAGGCCATAACTTTGAGATCAGTCCAAGTAAATCTTACCCCATTCTTATTTCCACTTCAAATTTTGGGGCTCACCAGAGTGTTACTAAAGTCACAGTCAAAATTAAGTGCTTATTTTGGACACACCTCCCAAGTTGGAAATAGCCTTAGGAGGGTACAGGGAAGATCTTGCTGCTGGGAATTATGGTGCAATGACTGCTGCCTGTGTAGTGGTGGCATTTGATGGAGTGAGCTGTTGAGGAGGTGGAGGTGGGAGTTCCCTGCAGATTCTTCTCAAGTAATATTGTTTCCTTTTTCCTCCATGTTTTAGTGCTCATGATAATGATGTAAAAGAAGCAAACAAACAGAGAGGACAGGCAGGCCCTCAGTCAGCACAACTAGGTGTGTTCCAGACAGCCTCCCAGCCCTCACGGCCGGTCCATTTTCAGCAACCTCAGTATCTCCCTCAGACTCAGCAGACCTCACTGCAATATCGCCATCCTGTATCAGAACAACCAAGCTGTCAGCAGATTGTATCTACCACACACACCTCGTCTTACACACTACAGACATGTCCTGCTGGCTTCCAAACCAGTGTTCAGGGCCTTGGGCACATACAGACTGGTGTTGGGATGTCCCTAGCAATACCAGTAGAAGTTAAACCCTGTCTGAGTGTTTCTTATAACCGGAGTTACCAGATAAATGAACATTATCCTTGTATTACCCCGTGCTTTGAAAGGTGATTATGTGCAAAGGCAGTAACCAACCCAGACTGTCTTGTGACTTGAAGCTCTGGTACAAACTTTGTAAACTTCTCTTCAGAAGGAAAGGATCTACCAGAAGACTGAATATCCCTTTCAGTGCACCATTAATATCTAGGAGGACTAAGCAAACACTTAATAGTGTGTGTCAAATCCTGTTACAAAATCCTGTGTGACAGATATGTTCAGGCCTGGCTGATGGTCCAAATATTTCAAATATTTTCAATACAACAACAAATTTGGACAGACTCCAATTTGCCATTTTGAGGTTTGACCTGTGGTAGGCTCTGGGCCTTATGTTGGCTTATATGTCAAAGACTAATGATTATCTGTGGACTTGCCAAACCGTCTTCTATGAAGGAAAGTTACAGTATTAATTTGTGAAGAGATCTTTTGTTTATTCTGCAGTTTTTGAGTTGTTTTGTTTTGTTCTGTTCTGTTCTGTTTTTTTACTTACAGATTAATTTCTGACTAAGGTTAAACTCATGAATTGATATGCTATACCAATCTGTGCAGTAAAAATTTTTTTCAGATGATTCTGTATAACTTCCTATCATAAATAATATAGGTATCTGAATTTATATACTAAATTTAGGGGTGGAGTAGATCCCATGTCTTAAAATCATGGTCATAACTTTTGTTTGATTGCTTGCTTGTTTGTTTTTTCCCCTAAGTGATCAGCCTCAACTCTTTAGAATTAAAACACATTAACTCAGGGAATTTGTACTACTTGGAAACATTTAACTGTAATGCAACATGCTTTGGGAATGTTATAGTATGAACTACCTTTATAACATAGGTTAAATACTCCTATGCTAAAATGTGTTTTCCAATGAGAACTTAATATTGTAGCACAGAATGAATGAAGTGGTGGTTCCTATGATTCATAATATGTATACAGGTTTTGCATTTCTCAGTGCAATCAATGATTTATATTCAGATTTGAGAATACTCTTAAGAAAAAGGTTTTTTTCAAAGGAAGACATAACTGTAAAATATCAGTACTAGAATAAAGTCCTGTAGATTTATTTTGGAGAGGGGAGTGGCCAGGGTAGTACTCAGGTTGTGCTAGTGCAGCACTTTGTTATGTGGAAGACAGGTTTTATAAGCAACCATGGAATCCAGCTAGTTAGTCTAAACAGGCAAGAGTACTGATTTCTAAATTTCAGTAGCTGCTTTCATTAGGTTGGGCCCACAACTGCCCTGGCATATTTCACTGTACTCATGATGAGTGAAAACACAATAATAGTCATGTTAGCAAGGGCAACTTGGGAGAAATGTTTTGGGGGAATAAACTTAAAAAGTAAAAAATAATAATAATGAATAAACTGTATACATTACTCTCTTGTTAGTGGGAGAAGAGAGATTTGGTGGAGGGATGCTTTCTGGTTTAAAAATTATTAAGGTGTGTCTATTTGTGTTTTTTTAAGGATAGCACTTGAATAGAGGGGCATCTGCATGGCAGATATGCAACCGCCACAATGTGCATTGAAGACAAACATAATGATGTTGTGGGTATGCAGCAGGAGTCTCAGTAATCAAGCCAATGGCCTTTGTGAGGAAGGGAAGGGGCTCAACACAGCAAAGGACTGATCCAAATGGCTCCAGTGGTTGAGTGTGGGTGGGTGGCTTCTGCCAGCATGAATTCTTAGAGAAATGTCCTTTCCTTAAAAGGAAAATAACTTTTATATAATTTAGATACAGAGGGCATGATGTGCATTTATTAGTCTGGTAAATTTAAAAAACCACTCAGGTAAGAACACTCGCTCATGGCAGTTTTCAAGTGTGGAAATTGCTTTCTGAAAGTATCATCATTTTTCCTCTAAAAAGGCTGCTAATTGGAGCAGGTTTAGTAGTTCTTACCGTAAGAAAACTTGAATCATTGGGGGGAAAATATGTTCAAAAGATAGTATATCTTTCACATTCACAAACTCAGCAACCTGGAGTCCAATTTTCAGTATTTTAACTACCTCAGTAATGCTATGAATGTAAGATATTGGGATAGAGATCCTAACTTGAAACAACAACCAGTGCCTGTGGTGATTTAATGTCTTGTCAAATGCTTTTATTGATTGGTTTGTATGTCATTCTTGTTATAGAAGAATATGCCTTTTTTAAAAGCTTATTAACACTTTTCCCAATTTATATTTAAAAGAGCTAAAGAACACTGGATTAATTGGGGAGGGGTAGAATAAAATAATTGATTACTATTGCTGCATACCCAGGGTGGGGTGGGGTGGTTGGAGAACCAGAAGTGTTTTTAAAACATTAGGTTTCAATATAAATACAACTCACAACTGTTAGCTTTGGGAGGGGGTTGGGTGGGGGAGTTGTGTGGGTTTTGTTTTGTTTAATTTATTGATTAGTCTTTAAAGCTGTTTGTTATTTTGTTTTTTTTGTTTTTGTTTTTTGAGATTACTGGACCATCATTAATGTGTACTGTGAAGAGATTAATATGTATCAAGGGCTTTACCAAAGTCCACTAAATAAACACTACTCAAGTACAGACTGCAAACCAAAATGTATCTGTGTTATGATATTAATTGCAAATAGCGAGCATGGTGCTAAAGTCTACACCAGTGGAATTAGATGAGTGCTATGCACTTAATTTTAAAATAAAACTAGTTTTCATTAAAATGGTCTTGGTGTTTTTGTTTTAAATACAGACTAGTAATTTACAGTTTCATTGAGCCATGTCTTTGTACAAGTCAGACTTAGAATCACGATTTACTAAGTCATCCAGATGTAGGATATAGCCACAGTGGTGGGAAAAATTGACCCATCATGTATTCCATCCTGAGCATTTTATTTGACACCACTGTTGCCTTTTAATCTTAAAATTAGTACTGCAGATTCTAATTTGTTACAGAATGATACAAGTTTCAGAATACTCTTAAGAAAAGTAGGGACCCAAATGATCAAGGATGTGAGAGGCAACAGAATTAACTAAGTAGTGGTCTGTTTATCTGGGTGTAAATATTTTCTACTTAATCTAACTTAAACCTTAGTAGATGTAAATTATTTTTAAAGAGTAAAATCTAACAGGTTTGTACAAATGGATTAGGGATTTATACCCCTAAACATTTTTAAAATAAGTCCTGTAAGAATTTTCACTTACTCTGGCATAATGCCAGGGTTTAACAATAGCTCTTGAGAGTTAATATGCAATGTTCTTTAGGGCTGAATTTTAAGAGAGAGAGAGAAAAAAGCAACAACCATTCAAAACCAGGACAAGAAACTTTGCATTGAGGTGATTCTGTACCCTACATGAAAAGGTGATAACTGCCTCTCAAGCACAATATGAGACTTGTCCTCTCCAGCTCTAAGCAGCTTACATCTAGGTTAATAAATATGACAGGCACACTGTAAGCAATTAGAATGGTGTCTGGAACTCGGTTTAATGTTTGGTTTAGGGATCACTCAGTATCCATTTTTAAATCCCTTAGATTAAAAAAAAAAATTATACTCATCAACAGCATAAAGATCAGGCTCAAACTGTATAGAAAGGACATCTGCTACCTGATGCCTGCCCCCACTACCACTTTTCTTCATATTTACTCCCCGAACACTGCCTACTAGGGAAGCATTACCATCCTGAATTGAAGAATCTGGAGTCCATGAGACCTTGCCATAGTATTTAGTTTATATATAAAAGTCCATATAATTTTATCAGTTATTCAAAGGGATCAGTGATTAAAAATAGTAGCCACTGTCTTATCTGTTTACTTGCTAGTTTTCTCCTAATTTAAAATGTTCTCTTTTTTAAAAAAAGGCTTTTAGAATACATTTAGATTTATAGAATTATTACTAAAATAGTAGAGAGTTCTCATGTATCCCAATCCAGTTTTCCCCTTATTTTCGTCTGACATTGGTGTAGCCCATTTGTCACAATGAAAAAAATAGGTTATTGTTAACTAAAGTCCAGAATTTATTCAAATTTCCTTAGTTTTCCTCTAATGTCCTTTTCTGTCCCAAGTTCCTATTGGGGATATCCCGTGACTTTTACTTGTTAGGTCTTAGGTAACTTGGTTGTGCTAGCCAGACTTTCCTTGTTGATGATGATCTTGATAGTTTGGAGGATCATTTATCAGGTATTTCATAGAATGAATATTTGTCTTTTGAGAGGTGAGCTTTAGTCTTACTCATCTTGTGCCCTTTGTGTGATAGAGAGCCTGGCAAAAGGCTCATGGGACTTTAGGTAACTCAAACACCACAGTGGGCAGGAAACAAATGCTGTCTTGGAAAGGTACAGTTCCATCGGATTTGGTAGTGATTAGATGGTATCCAGATAATCCTATGAACTGAATTGAATAAATCAAGTGTGTCTAAAAGCTGGTGATACATAGAAATGGTGATACATAGAAACATAGAAATGATGTTTCATGAGAAACAACTGAAGGAACTGGTGAGTTTTTCCACTGAGGGGAAGATGAAACACCTGTCTTCCCACTTACAGGTAAGATGTCGTATAACTTGAAAGGGCTGAGTTAAAATAGTGGTCAAGGGGCTGGGGATGTGGCTCAAGCGATAGCACACTCACCTGTCATGCGGGCAGCCCGGGTTCGATCCTCAGCACCACATACAAAGAAAGATATTGTGTCCGCCGAAAACTAAAAAATAAATATTAAAAATTTCTCTCTCTCTCTCTCTCTCTCAAAAAAAAAAAAAAAAAATAGTAGTCAAAAGTTTCTCACATTTTGGTGAAAAATAAGCCAGAATATTACAAATGAGTGCCTGGGTTCCTTCTTAGTCACCAAAGGTCCTTGACTTAGACCAGAAACAGGATGAAAGTAATTCTCAAACCTGGATATAAAAGAGACTGGATGACTTCTAAGTTATTTGCCAATTCTCAGGAGTTTCTTGGGCTCTCAAACATTTCTAAAGGCTTTATGGATAGGAACTTAGGCTGGGTGTACAAGGAAGAGAAAAGCCTCAACTACCCAGGGCAGCTACAGGAGAAGGCATCACCCTAGTGATGTCCATGAAGCAGCTCCCACTAGCCTGGCTAAAGCTCGTCCATCCTCCTATACTCCACCCAACTGTTGGACAGTAAGGACAGACTCGCTGAGAAAATGTGGAGGAAACAAGGTGGCATGGGGCTGGTTTGTGGAGTATTTTTTGTTTGTTGCAGTAGTGGGATTGAACCCAGAGGCACTCTACCATTGGGTTACTTTCCTTGTTCTTTTTATTTTATTTATTTTTTGGATACAGGGTCTTGCTAAATTGCCCAAGTTCTCCTCGAACCTATGATCCTCTCAGCTTCCCAAGACACTGGGATATGGATGTGTGCCACCATGCCCACCTGGGTTACAGAGTTTCAAAAGCCAGAAGAGAAAGATTTTGTGAGGATCAAAGAAACTTCTGAGGATCTGCAGTGCGATTCGGCTGATTTTAGGACGAATGCTGTATATGTATTGTAGTTTTGTGAGAGGAGATAAGAGTCAGGAAGCCTTTTGAAATAATGACAAATCAAGTAATGAAAGTGTATGGATATTTAATAGTACAAGGGTAAACACTAAGGAAGATGACAGAAGTAATAAAATTGGGTAATGGAATTACAGAAAAGAAATAAGGAAGTACACTGTTCTAGCATTACTTGTAAAAGTGAATTACAGATATGAAGGTAGTAGCTAAATAACTAGAAAACAGGATTTTTTGTACAATCAGGATATTACAGAGGTATAACTATGAAAACAAAAATACAAGTCTTCCTCATTAAAAGAAAAACAATATAAACTTATCCATATAGTAATATTTTTAAAGATATAAATACTGACAGTTAACAAAATGGGACAAAACTAACAAATCAATGAGCTAAACTTAACTATTAAGAAAAAATTTCAGACTGAGTCATAAACTAACAACTAATTACGAAAAAATTTCAGACTGAATCATAAAGCAAAGCTCAAATCTATGTATGACTTTGATCTAAAATATAAGTGATTTAGAAAGGTTGAAAATCAAAGGATGAGTAAAATACCAGAAAAATTCAAACAAAGAAAGGATCAAGATCTTAACAGACAAGGCTGAATCCATGCCAAAAAACATTAAATCAGACCAAAACAAAGCACTCCTAAATGGGTACAACTCATAGTAAGAATGAGCAGTTATAAATAGCTGTGGGTCAAATAACTTAGCAATTTTAAGCAAAATCTACAGGGAGTATAAGAAAAAAGAAAAAATAGTAGGAAAACTAATTCATCTCATCAGTAATTATGAAAAAACAAGGATATAAAAATCTTAATATTGTTCTTCTGGTAGGTCAAATTGATAGCTGTTGAGAAAGTCTAAAAAGGGAAGTGGTGCAGACTGGGCATAACAAAGAAGAAAAACAAAGGACATCAGACATACAGACAGCCTGTCACTATATCAAGAACAAAAGGAAATTACTTTCCTTGTTGATCCACTTAGATGTCTAGGATCAGAGTGCCCTGACTGGCCTCTTTGTTAGCTGCCAACTAATCTGCACAGCTCACTCAAAAAGAAAAGAAAAAAAAAAAAAATTCATGGTTTCCAAACTGCAACTTCTCCCTTTGTTCAATGAAAGCAAACACGGTTTCCACTGTATGTAAGTAAGCAATGCACCATTAATTGATTTATATTTCTTCAAGTTTTCTTTGATAATATCAAACTCCAGTATGAACTTTCAAAAAAAATTGACCATGCCTTAATTCAAAAAGAAAAACTAATCAAGTCTAAAATGTAGAAGCAATGAAGAAAACACTCTCATGAAAATGTGACTAAAATATTTAGTAGGACCAAAAGAAATAAGGAATTCATTTGAGTCAGATAAGAAATCTGAAATTTTAGAATATCTAGAAAATTTCCATAAAGAAAATTCTACATATCACATCATGAGCTCTGGGATAAAGATAAAACCATGCTCACAAGAAAATTAACATCAAACTGAAAAAGTTTAAGAAAGAAAAATCTAAAAAAAACTGAAGGTAAGAAATAAGACAAAGGTAAAAATTAATGGTTTACAAAAAAAAAAAAACTAAGACATCCATATATAAACATGCAATGAAAAAAATAATGTTTAAAAATTGGAAAAAGAGAAGGTAAAATTACCATTATTTATAGATTACTGAATACCTGGAAACTGCAAGATAATAAACTGAAAAACTATTACAGACACTAAACAAATTCAGTAAATTGGGAACATAATTAAAATATCTTTCCTATATACACAAACAGCCAGTTAGGCTTAATGCAAAATATTCTCAGTTATAACGGCCACCAAAATTAATATTAATAAGGCCTAACAATATAAGAAATGTGCAAGATCTACAAAAGAATAATTGAACAAGGCACACCATAGTCTTTCACATCAAGATGTCAATTCTTAATCTATAATCTCACAAGCTGCTTTTTAAAAATAATCTAAACATGCAGAATAACCAAGAAAATTCTAAAAAATAATATGAATGGTCACAAGCCTTACACGAAACTTCAATAAATAAAACACGATGGACTGGCAAATAAGTTGACAGAAACTAAAACAATAGAAGTTCTGGAAATACATATGGAAATATATATAAAACATTATTTGGTAAAGGTGGCATCTTAAAATTAGTGGAAAAAATATTGATTATTCAATAAATTCTGTTGGATTAACCAGATAGCCACTTAAAAAA